ATCTGCGAGTGAAACCTTGAAAGCTTGCGAGATCAGGATGGTCTCACGAGGCTAGTACACAGTTGAGTTGAAGGACTTTCTCCAGAAGCGAACAGCATCCAGCTCGAAATCTCTCTACCTACAGTACTGCCAGCATAACAAAACACACATATACATACACACACATATATACACATATATACACATACATACATACATATATATATGTATATATATATATATATATATATACATATATATGTGTGTATAGAGAGAGAGAAAACGTCTCAACATCTATCCAGTAATCTTTGTCAATTCTTTCAGCTTCACACCAAAGCAATGCATTCTTGGACCACGGATGTTTTTAAACATCCTAATCCTTTTGAAAGGATGTTCAAGAAACACCCAGAAAATAAGCCTGCACTAAACTGGAAACTCCTGAAACAGCTATTAGTTTGTCCTCAATGACTGCAGTCATTCCAATGGACTGAGGGAGTGGCATTTAAGTAAGACAAGTCATTAGGTTCCTATGAGTCTAACTGAAGGTCAGTCTGTTGTCAGAGGATACAAAGATTAAACTGTTTGCCAATAAATAAAAAATGTGCAGGTCTGTTTTTTTGCCAGAGGTACTGATGCGTTGAACAAGAAGGATAGAAAAAAATAAGTAAAGGACCAAATTCAAAATTGTTCAACAATCAAATCAGCAGCCAGATGGTTGAGCAATAGTGACATTGGTGCTCATCTTTATGCACAATGTATGGAAAGGAAATATCCCTTAATAGTTTGCAATGAGGAAACATGTGCTCCTTGTTTAACCCCTCCCTTATTGAGCTATCAGGGGTTAAGGATCTTTGCTCAGAGACCCAGAGCAACAATCTGGGTTTCAAACATGCAACCTCTGCTGCCTCTAAAAGAGCTAAAGCCTAACCGCTGGCAGCACACTCTAACTCCAAAGAGAAAGGTGAGCCCCTGCTGACAGTATGTATGTTTCATGGACAAAGTTTTTAGTTTTGCTGTTGTTGTTTTTTAATGCTTGATTTAAAAAAAAAAAAAATAGCTTAATAAAATAAAAGATTTAAGATGTAGGTTGAAAAAAACAAATTACTTTTAAATCAATGAATGTCGCCCTTTTGCCCGCCATAAAACAAAATGTCCCTTTTGGGTATCTTATTTGAATAAAATACTACATTACGTAACATTTTAAATAATGTCCAAAAACAGAAAAAAATACTTTACAGTGTGCTTTATTTGACATAAAACTCTTTAATAATTTAATAATATATTGCAACTAGAGAAATATAAATGCAGATTGATCTAAGCTCTACATTCAGTGAAAACATTTGCATAGATAACCAGTACCATAGATTTTAATGTACCGTAAATCCTCTAATATAGGACAGGGCCTTTATTTCACTCAGGTGCATCTTGGTCCAGGCCATTATTGGAAGGAGGCCAGAATTGGAGGCAGCCCTCTATTTCTATTTGATCAAAACAGACTACCAGTGGAATAAATAAAAACAAGATTTTGTGTCTCTTTGAATCTATAAAATATTAGGTTCATTTATTGAAAAAGTACAGTTACCATAACGGTACATAGAACATTATTAAGACATCTTCCAGCAGCTGAAATTTTTCTGCACAGCAATAAAAAAAAAAAAAAAAACAAATAGAATGGAATGGAATCTTGGCAAAACTACGGAGCCCCTAAAGGGACATGCAGGGAAAAAATTAACTTTAGCGAGATCTCGCAAAAAAAAAAACGTTTTCGAGATCCCGCAATACTTTTGCAAGATCTCGCAAAACTATCGGGGGATCTCGCAAAAGTATTGCGAGATCCCGCAAAACTTTTGCGAGATCTCGCAAAAAAAAAAACTTTTTCGAGATCCCACAATACTTTTGCAAGATCTCGCAAAACTATCGGGGGATCTCGCAAAAGTGTTGCGGGATCTCGCAAAAGGATTGCGAGATCTCGCAAAAGGATTGCGGGATCTCGCAAAAGTATTGCGGGATCTCGCAAAAGTATTGCGAGATCTTGCAAAAGTATTGCGGGATCTCGCAAAAGTCCTTTTTTTCCCCTCCATGTCCCTTTAGGGGCTCCGTACCAAACTGACTGACCGGAATACATTTTTTTTTTAAATTTATGGAAACTGTTCTGCCATCACAGCGAAAATTTATTTGAGGCAGGCTAAGTGGAAGTAGGCTACCAGTATCATATATTTCAAGGGAAATTCAGAACAACGAAGGCCAACAAAATTCTGTC